TCCACCCTGTAGTAGCAAACAACTCAAAACTTTTATTCTGTTCTTTTAGTCCTAACCAGCCTAGCTGGAATCTGGGCTGCACTTAGGCAGCTGGACCAGAGCTATGGGCAGAGTTTTTGTGCAATCTGGTGTTCCCACTCTGTGGCTCTTTTCTAGGTGGGATCTCTCTACTCATATTACAGCTGCTATGGTCTCCCTAAATTTTTTTCCTTGATTTCACATCCAATAAGACTGTAGATTTTTATCCAAGTCTTAACTGCCACAGATAGAACTAAGTAGATCCTTGGCTGACGCAAAAAGGATTAACAATAGAGAATTCAGCCATTGGAATTTCCTTCTTCCATGTGTTGACACCCCTCCAGTTCATCTACTTTTTGTTGATATCTAGCCTTCAGTATGCTGCACAGAATTTAATTGGTATTTATAAGTGACATTTGTTTATCCAGTTGGAGATACCACTACTGAAAGAGTTCCTCAACTAGTGAACACAAGATTCCAACAATTTAACTTCATTCTAAAGACAAAAAGAACTTTAAACAAATACTGAACTATAGTTACATTTCTTTAATGTGATGGTATGGATAACAATTCTGACACTGTGGGTACAATGAGGACTAGACAAACGAATACAAATAAATTAGGGATAGGCCAGGCGTGGTGGCTCACGCCTGTAATCCCAGCACTTTGGGAGGCTGAGGTGTGTGGATCACCTGAGGTCAGACGTTCCAGGCCAGCCTGGCAAACATGGCAAAACCTCATCTCTACTAAAAATACAAAGATTAGCTAGGCATGGCGGTGCACACCTGTAGTCACAGCTACTTGGGAGGCTGAGACAGGAGAATTGCTTGAACCCAAGAGGCAGAGGATGCAGTGAGCTGAGATGGTACCACTGCACTCCAGCCTGGGCGACAGAGTAAGACTCCATCTCAAAAAAATAAAAATAAAAATAAATTAAAAATTTGGGGATAATAGGAACCAGGTTTCTTTCTGTTACAGAAAGAAGTTAAAAATATGAAAAGCGGAAGTCTAGAATGAATACTGTGGAATTGAATTAAAATTAAAAGTATCAGCATCAGCTCATGAAAATGTAAAACATTACTGGCTTTCTCTGTTGAAAGAGCCTGGAAACAAAGACATCTTGGTGGCAATGAGCACATCACACACCCTAATCTTGATTTCTAAATACTATATCCCACTAAAAGGAATCAAAACTCCTGCAAAAAATAACTGATTCTAGAGCTGGAGAACAGAAAATGGAACGTAAGCCTTGAAGATTTTGAGGGGACAAAAAGACAGAATGTGTTGAAGAAATGATGAGGACTTGTAAAAAGGTCAGCAGGAGCCATCCAGACGGTGCTCCTACTAGCCAGAACTGATATAATTTGAGCATCAAAATAAACAATGACAAAGAATATTCATGAAAAAAATTTAAGTATATACTAATACAAATAAATGAATAGGTTAGAACATGAACCCCTCCCTTACAATATAATATATCAACTAAAAAACACAGAAGGAATGACAGATTACAATATCACCATTTTGAACCCATCAAAGTACTAAATCATTCAGCTAAGAATCATAAATGTATGCTCTGATAAACAGAATTTCTAAGAATGGCCCACAAGATTCTACATCGCTAATCCCCAGAACCTATCAATGTGATGACATATCATTCCCATAACTGTGTTATGTAACATGGCACAGTTGATTTTAAAATCGAGAGATAATCAGGAGGAGATGAGAGGGAGGGGGATCTAGTCTAATCACACAAATCCTTAAAAACAGAAAAATTTCTTCAGCTGGTAGCAGAGGGCAACAGAATTAGCAAATAAAAAGTTAAGTCAGAGAGCTTCAAAGCTTGAGAGAGACTTGAAGTCCTGTTGCCAGTTTTGAAGATGGAGAGCATCATGTAAGATGAAATGAGGACACCTGAAAAGGGCTGAGAGAGAGGGCCCTGGCCAATAGTGAGTGAGAAAGAAGGATCTCCGATCTACCATTATAAGGAACTGAATTTTGCCAACAACCTGAATGAGCTTAGGGATGGATTTTTCTACACTCTCCAGAAAGAAGCCTAGTCTTGCTACCATCTTGCTGTTGATCTTGTGATACCCTGAGAAGGGTCCAGCAAGGCCCACTGGACTCTGAACCTATAGAACTGTAAAATAACAAATCTGAGTTGTTTTAAACTGTTAACTTTGTGGTCATTTGCAAAAAGAAAACATGGAGTTAAGTTTTGATAATAAAAAGAATACCTTAGTTATCTCAAAGTGCCCCCCATTAAATTAGTTATTAGTTACAATGGAATAAAGCATAACATTATACTGGGATTATCTAGCAACACAACCATAACCAAACAACCTAAGTAACATCACCAGTAAAGGGACAAATCACAACACATGCCATGTAATAAGACGCACAGAGATGAACAGAACACCACTTTATGTAGTATTCCTGCCAAAAATGTATAACCTGAATCTAATCATAACTAAACAGATGATCCCACCAAGGGCCATTTGACAAATCGACAAAGCCATACACCTGTACATTTTTTTAAAATGTCATCGTTCTAAAAGGCAGACAAACTGCTTCTTTTTTTTTTTTTTTTTTTTTTTTAAGGTGGAGTCGTGCTTTGTTGCCCAGGCTGGAGTGCAGTGGTGCGATCTTGGCTCACTGCAACCTCTGCCTCCTAGGATCAAGCGATTCTCCTGCCTCAGCCTCCTGAGTAGCTGGGATCACAGGTTTGTGCCACCACACCGGCTAAATTTTGTATTTTAAGTAGAGGCGGGGCTTCACCATGTTGGTCAGCTTGTCTTGAACTCCTGACCTCAAGTTATTGGCTCGCCTCGGCCTCATAAAGTTCTGGGATTACAGGCGTGAAGCACCGTGCCAGGCCAAATTTTTAAAAGACCAAAGAAACATGACTATGAAATCTTGAACTGGATCCTGAACTTAAGGGGAGAAAACTTATCTATGAACATTACTGGAATAATTGATGAAATAAGAATAGGGACTGTGGCTTAAATAACTTTATTTAGTTTACCCACCTATTTAGCTTTCCCAATCTTATTCATTACTTCCTGTATTTTGGTGTTGCCATTTCAAAGTATTTTCCTTCTCATTTCAGAAAACCTGTAATTTCCTCTAGTGCAGTTATTTATTCTAGCGTAGGTCTGTTGACATCAAGTTCTCATGTTTTGTTTGCCCAGATATGGCTTTATTCCATCCTTCATTTATGGAGGATGTTTTCACTGGATATACAGTTCTATGTTGGCAATTACAATCACATACCACACAAAGACATTTCCCTCAATGACTGACCACATATACATTGGTGATCCCATAAGATTATAATAGTGTATTTTTACTGTACCTTTTCTATGTTTCCATGTGTTTAGATGCACAAACACTTACCATTGTGTTCCAATTACCTACAGTATTCAGTACAACAACATGCTGCACAGGTTTGTAGCCTAAGAGCAACAGGCATATAGCCTAAGTGTGTGGTAGACTATGTAAGTACCCTCCATAATGTTTGGACGACAAAATCACCCAATAATTAATTTCTCAAAAATATCCCCACAGTTAAGTGATGCATGACTATACTTTTCTTTGACATTTTAAAGAAATCATTTCATTGTCATCTGCCTTCTATCATTTCTGTTGTTAAGTGAGCTTCCAATGTTAGAGTTATTCCTTTGAAAATAATATATTTTTTTCCTCTTGTCTACTTAAGAGATTTTTCTCTTGGTTTTTGTTCTTTAGGAGTTTGGTTATGATATGTCTAGCTATAGTTTTCTTTATATTTATCCTGCTCAGGGTTCACAAACTTCTTGAATCTGTAGCCTGATGTCTTTCATCACTTTTTAGAAAATGCTCAGCCAATATCTCTTCCAATTGGACTTTTAACCAATTCTTTCTTCCTTCTTGAACTCTAACTACACATATGGTTGAACTTTTCACTATGATCCACCTCTTATACCTTTTTTGTACATACTGTGTATGTCTGTGTGTGCTATGTATTGTAGTTACCCTTAAAAACCTGAAAATGCTGTCACATGATACAAAATGTTTTCTTAAAAAAGAGAACAAGTGCAATGGCTCATGCATTTAATTTCAGCTACTCAGGAGGCTGAGGCAGGAGAATCATTTGGAGCCAGGAAGCTCGAGACCAGTCTGGACAACACAGCAAGACCATGTCTCTAAAAAAAATTTTTTGAAAATTAACCAGGCATGGTGGCACACACCTGTAATCCCAGCTACTAGAAAGGGTGAGGTGAGAAGATTGCTTGAACCCAAGGAGTCTGATACTATCGAACAACATAAAAATTTAACTCTTATGTGGGGTGCAATGGCTCATGCCTGTTATCCTAGCACTTTGGGAGGCCAAGGAGAGCAGATCACTTGAGTTCCAGACCAGCCTACCTAACACGATGAAACCCAGTCTCTACTAAAAATACAAAAATTAGCCAGACATGGTGACAGGCGCCTGCAATCCCAGCTACTCAGAAGGCTGAGGCAGGAGAATAGCTTGAGCCCGGGAGGCAGAGGTTGCCGTGAACCAAGATCACACCATTGCACTCCAGCCTCGGTAACAGAGCAAGACTCCATCTCAAAAATAAAAATAAAAATTTAACTCCTAATACATGAGTAATTGCTAGGATAAAACATTCCTATACTACTCCTGCCTCCTCTAATACTATTTTTTCACAGTCAACATTCACTAGCCATTCTATAAGACATTTCCATTACATATAAAACCATAAGTGCTTCCTTTTCTAAGCTTTCTATAGTCATACTTACCAAAATTAAAATCTCCTATATCAGATACGGCTAAGATACATAATAGGGGCTTCTATAAAGCTTGCTAATCTGTCATTTTCCACAAACTGAAATCTTTTAAAAGCTGCTCCCTGAAAAAATAAATGATTACCTCCGTTAAGTGTAAAAGAAAAACAGAAAAAAGACTAGAAGGTATAGCACATTCTTTTTCAATTTACCTGTGTTTTGATTCATTGCAAGTCGTGGAGGAGAACTTGTTTCTTCAGATTCTTCTGATGAGTGTGCAAGAAAGTCATGAAGCTTCTGCACCAATGTATTCAACTTGCTTTCACTATTAAAACAAAATTTAAAGAATTCCCTTATTAGCATTTCATGTTTTAAATTAATTGCAGAGCTCTAGCAAACTGAAAATATAGCCATATCGTAAGTCATATGAGAGTACGCACATTCAAAGTAAAAACTAAGGGAAATGTTACAGTTGTGGGTGTAGAAAGAAAAAAATTAAAGCAATAAAGTTTAGGCCGGATGTGGTAGCTCCTAGTAGGACATAGTGGCTCATGCCTGTGCTCTCACCTACTCAGGAAACTGAGGTGGAAGGATGGCTTCAGCCTGGGAGGCAGAGGTTCCAGTGAGCCAAGATCATGCCACTGTACTCTAGCCAAGGCAACAGAGCCAGACCCTGACTCAAAAAAAAAAGAATTTTATTTCACTGAGGATATAAAAATATGAGTAACACAATCTACCTATACAATTACCTAGAATCATTTAAGGAAACTGATATTACTTACTAAACACTTCTAAAATACTGAGGTCTTTCAATGTATACTTACTAAACACTTCCTAAACACTGACGTCTTTCAATGTACTGTATATCATATGTTTAAATAGAAGTTAAACTTTGTGTTACTTAAAATGTATCAAAAAATACTAGCCTTAATTTAATTCTTAAGAAACAATGAACCTACCTACCACAAAAGAATTTTAAAAGAAATCAAGGCCGGGCGCGGTGGCTCAAGCCTGTAATCCCAGCACTTTGGGAGGCCGAGGCGGGTGGATCACGAGGTCAAGAGATCAAGACCATCCTGGTCAACATGGTGAAACCCC